CAGACTTTAATAGCTACTTCTTTTTTGATTGTTTTATTTCCAAGAAAAAGTCACCTGGATTGCACTGAATATTTCTGTTAAATCTCAGTTTAACTTTTACTTTCTGAATATATTTTTAATTTTTTTCATTAAGGAAGAAAAACCTAGAGTTTTATCTCACTAAATGCAATTAAGAACTCCAGAAGTCTTTCAAATATTGCAATATTTGGGAACTAATGGACTACTTTCTCTCAAGTACTAATGAATTCCCTATAGTAGTGCAGGCTTTTCTACCAGAGAAAACCATAGTGTAATTTTCTAGAATTAAGTCTGAAATGTCAGACTGCTTCCATAACCTCCTTCTTCATGTGCATCTGAAATGTTGTAAACGCATTTACTTCCTGGACATGGTACTCAAAACTGATGATTCTTCTTTAAGAGCATTTTTTCATTTTTTAACTAATTGAAAGTTTTAAGTCCACCATTTAGACCTTTTTCCAACTGCTGCGAGATCTGCTATTAAAAAAAGAAGTCCTTGTGAATCCTCTATTTCCATATTCAGGCTTCTGCTATTTTTTTCTGGTCTTCAGAATTCTACTCAAGAAAACACACTGGAGCTTTAAAGAAAGTAGTGAAGTAAATGGGCACTAAACAATCCCTTTTGACTATTACTTCTGAGAAATCATTCTGTCTCAATGCTTTCCATAGACTCTTGTTACTGCAACCCATGAGGACTGCATCTGAACAAGTATGAACAGGGAGGGACACAAGTCAAAGTATCACAATACTTTTATTCTCTTTAAAACATATTTGTCTAGATTCTGATCCAAAGTACTATTTTATTTTTCATTGATTACTACTTTGACTCCTCAAAATCTTCCCAGGATGATTTTTTTAAAAGTGCACTTAAAATCCAAATGTACGGGGTTAACCAGTTCTCTTTTATCTTCTAACATATATTGTTCAAAACCTTCTTCCCAATATTTTCATATACTGAAATCCATGTTTAGTGGATACTGAGAATTATTGCCTCAGAAAAGGTTTTTTTTATGAAATAAAGGTCCATATTCTGCAGTTTAGATTCTCAGCAGGTTTTTTAGCAGATTGGCTACTTTATAATTGAGTTATATTAGATGACCCGGAAAAACACCAGCAATTCTCTCTTAAACTTTTTGATTTGTCAAAGTGTAACATTAGTCCATCATCTTATCTCTTATGACTGAATTTCAATTTTTTACTGGATAAATTAATTCTCAAACTTATATAATGTGATGATGATCACACGTAACATTCACTTAAATGTAGCTTCTCTGCAATATTCATATCTTCTCTATTTGGATCCTTTACATCATTACAATCCCACTGATGCCAAATGATTTTTTGCCTTTTCTTTTATGTACCTTCTATACAACTTTAATGTATCCTCAGTATTCTTAGCATGCATACTTGTAATTCCTTAAGTCTAGTAACTTACCATAACCTTGTATTTTGTTAGGCCAGGAGACCAAACATCCTAAAGGCCTCATAGTAGGAGGCTGGAAAACCCCACATTATCTTGGGAAACCAAGATCCCAAACCTAGTATCTCTGTAGAACACATCCTGTAAACTAAAGATTTGGCTCATCCAGGGGGGAATTTGACAGATGGGGGGAATATCACACCATTCATCCAGGCCTCCCATTGGGGCATATTTGTTAGATATGCTGATTTGTAAAGTCTATAAAACTGTACACTGATTTATCGTGTGTGTGTGCATTGTGGCACACTTCACCTTGGTGAAGTGGTGCACCAATAAGGAAGGATCCTTATTAAAATACCAAGGTAAAAACCCTTATCCCTTAACTGTGTCTGGCTCTCAATTTTCTAAGACCAGGAAAAGGCATCACCACAAATTGAATTATTCTGTTAATGGCTATTTAATTCTGAATGATTCACTTTTCCTGTAAGCCTAAGGAAGAAAGGTGGAGTGCACTTAAATGATTTTCATTCATAACTTTGAATCTGCTCGCTTTGTAGCATATCTGATATTAAGCATTTCTCTGTTGAAGTGTTCTGTAACATACTGCATCTGGCATGACAGACTCAATAAAATTTCCCTGCATGTACTGTATGAAGTTTATCTTATGTTTGCATATTGCACTGAAATTAGAGATATCTCTACTGGATACAGAAAGTAAGCACTTTCAAAATATGATCTGACTGTATTTTCTCTGAGTTCAATTATATTTTCTTCATTTCTGTACTGTTCTGTTTGCTTCACCACCTGCTTCTTGATATTCCTCCCTTTTATCTCTTTGCCTTGTTTTCATTCTTTAAATTATTTTTGTTTTGCTGTGTTATTCTTCTGTTTTACCATTTTTTGCCTCCTACTTCTTTCTCTCTCTTCTTTTTTTTTTTTCCTTTTATTTTCTTTCTTTTCTGTGTGAAGAAAAATAAAAGCCACATGGTTTGTCAGATAATAGATAATAAATGTTTGGGAATGTTGAGGAATCTTGTCATGGGAACAGTTACTTCCATCACATCAGTGTATTAATGCCATAATAATTGCTTCTGGTATGTTACAAATGCAATAGACATAACCTGTGGGGTGGTGGAAAGCACCACGCTGCCTTTTAAACATATGCAAACTAGTGCACAGAAGACAAGTTAATATTTTAAACAGAAAATCAATCTACAGTACACCACAGGGGCTTCTTCATCACCTACAATTTACATCTTATGGACAAGTTGCAAAGTCCCTTTTTTGACATCCTCCATAATTATCCAAAAACTTCTACAATACATAGGCTTTGAGGATGGTTGGTTGCCTATATCGCACCATTTAGTTGAATTTTATTAGTTAAACGTAGGAATATAAAACAGAAAATATCTCACGACAGGCCTAGACATCTGAAAAAAACAAAACCAGAAGTTTAGTGTAAAAGTGTTCACAAGTGGATAAAATTTGTTGCTATACACTTGCTGTTTTGTCTGAATTCCCTTAACCACACTTGTCTGGGACCTAAAGTTCAGGCATCCCCGAGCTTAATCCTCCTGGAGAACTCAAATTGCTATTTATGTTCTCAGCTCAGATTTTAGTTTTAGAAAAAAGTGACGAACAGTAGTGGCAGACAGCTTTTAAATAAGAGATCTCTTATATGAGAAGTGGCTTAGGGAGGCAAATCATGACTCTACTGGCAGATTAGCAACTGGAAAAAGTATATAAACTCTGGTACAAGTTACTATTTCTTAATACAGTGAACATCCTTCCTTCTCTATTCAGTGATTTTCCTCCTGAAATATACCCAGGCTAAGGAAAAGGAATCCAAGCATTTATGAGCTATCCTTGGTTGGCCCGTGTGTGTGTGTGTGAAAATCACAGAAACACAATATGGTTTGGATTGAAAGGGACCTTTAACATCACTTAGTTCCAACACCTCTGAAATGGGCAGGGACACCTCCTTCCAATAGATCAGGTTGCTCAGAGCTCATCCATCCTGGCCTTGAACAACACCTCCAGGGATGCAGCATCCACATCTTCTCTGGGCAACCTGTGCCAGTGCCCCACCACACTCACAGTAAAGAATGTCTTCCCAGTATCTAATCGAAACCTACTCTTTCATCCTGAAGCTTTTCCTCCTTCTCCTATCATTACAGTTCCTGATGGAGAGTCCCTCTCTGGCTTTGCTGCAGCCCCCTTCAGATACTGGGAGGTTGCTATGAGGTCTCCACAAAACCTTCTCTTCGCCAGGGTGAACAGAGTCAACTTTCCCAGCCTGACCTTGTTAGTGAAATGCTCCAGTGCCTCTGCTGGACTTGCTCCAACAGTTCCATGTCCTTCATATGCGGGGGAACCACAACTTTATGCAGCACTCTAGTTGGCATCTCATCAGAGCAGAGGGGCAGAATCCCCTCCCTTGCCCTGCTGGCCATGCTGCTTTGGATGCAACCAGGACACAATTGGCTTTCAGGGCTGTGAGCACACACTGCTGGCTCTGGTTGAGTTTTTTGCCAACCAACACCTACAAATCCTTGGACTGGACAAAATTATATCCAGAGTTCTGAACCTAAACCATACTGCTGTTCTGTGATCCTCTGGGGCACGGTTATAACTAGAAGTCAGATTTCCCTTTCTCCAGACAAATGCCCAAACAACCACACACTGTCATGAAAAAATGTGTGCAGTAGCATTACCCCATCACTATTTCTGGAGCAAAGAGAGAAACCAGTATTTATTCCCAGACTGGTTTTCAGATACTTAGCCTCTAAGGTATCTACCTCCACCTATTTTCAAATCCAGGTATTTTCTGAGCATGATGTAGTTTATACTACTAGTAATCCTCAAGGAATCTCACTGCTGAGTTTCTCCTTGAATCTACGTGAGCCCTTCTGCATTCACAAGGACCTTCACAAATAATCTTAGGTAAGTAGTTCTTACCTGTGATGCAAAAGAAAATGGAAATGAAATTCTATACTGTTCAAGAGTGACTACCATTCAGGATAATTTTAAGTTAAAAAAATTGCTGGATAATTCTAGAGTTTCATGCACTGGAGACTCAAAAATTTCAATGCCTGGGTTTTCGGAATAACTTATATACAGAATAAGTTTTTTCTTATGAGTAAATTTGTTTTCTCACTTTTATACCTTAATCCTGCAATGTATGTAGTGATATATTATGAATTTTACAATAAAATAAAAATTTGTAGGGCATTTTTTTAAGGTGTTAGTGTTACAAATTCTCAACAGCACAAAAGAAATTTTATTCTGTCATCTGTGACAGTAAAAACTAATTTTTATAATAAAATCTCATAAAAACTCCTTTCTTTTTTCAATTTCCACAGCAAAAGAGTTACCATCAGTAGTTAAAAATGCAAAAATAACTAAATATATTCAATCCTAAAAATAAAAATCACAGTAAAGATTATTATTACAATTAATCTACAATGTAAAAATTTGGTAATAAACTTTTCTACTGGTACCAAATAACCCCTGTAACAATGACTCCAGTAACTCTGTAATACTTTATAATCTGTATATTTACCCACGCACTGGGATATTCATACTCCTTGCAGATTTAGTGACTTCTTCAAACCTTTCTATGCTTTCTTCAATTGAACAATTAATATTCATTTTGCTAAAAGATTCAGATGCTGCGCCAAATACCGAAACTTCTGTAGCTCCTGCTGCAATCTAAAAAACACATTTCAAGAAAACAGAATCATAATACTACATTAAAGTATTAGATTGAACATTTAATTCTGTACAACATTCTAAAATTTTAAAGTACATTAAGTACATCATCCATATCAAAAATCTAATTTTAATTCCAATTTTTTTAAGCTATAGCATACAGACAGAATCAAATTTTGAGATCATTCATTGTGTCATATTTTCTGCCTCTTCTTAGCAATTAGTTAAACATGTGTTTAAAGTGATGAATGATAAAGGGAATATGATGTAAGAGTTCACATGAACCAGCTATATAAAAAACCATTATTAATACTTGTATTTATCTTTTCAGAAAAGGAAAAGATCATACAACCACTGTCATACTGTCTGTTCCCCCTGAATACCAGGAAGTCACTCTCATGCTTGGGAAAGCTCTCTGTGTGCATATGCCTAGAGTAGCAACAATTACCAACAGGGATTTCTTTGTTAGAGCCAACTCTAGGATCAAGGACTCCATTGGTCTTGGTGTCACAGTCGATAAGGATAATATGGAAAATGTGTACATGAGAGTCTGCTGAGAGAAGTCTTAGCAAACACCAGTCTAGAAAATGTGTAAATGTGGTGATTTCACTGAAGGGGCAACTAGCCTGAGCTTGTATTCAGTACCTCAGTAAATCAACTAACATGGGGCAAACTAGAAGGCTGAAAGTCAACTGATAGGAGAAGAAATTATTTTAGCTTAATAGTTAGAATAGTTAACTAACTCTCACTCTCCAGGCAGAATAATACTCTTGTTCAATGAAAAAGGATGGAGCTTTTGCCTTTACTCTCTGCCTCTGCAGGATAATGTCTAAAATTCAGCAACCCATACAGGGACAAATATTCTTTCAGAGGGAAAAAAACATCAGCAAGAAGGAATGCAGGAATCATCTACAACTATTTATTCATTGTTTTCCCTTCATTATATCACTAAATAAAGTAGAGAGATAAAACACCATTAATTAAACTCATACAAGCTACCATTGAGACAAAGTTGCAGCACTATAATCTGATGTTTGATAGTTAAGTCAACCATGCACAGGATTCTGTTTTAACATTATTTCAGTATAGGAACTGAATGACACACTAGAACACCAATGTCCACCAAGCAGTATGCTTTCCAAATACAGCCTGTCCTATATCAGGACAAAAGCAGAAGCACTAAAAATTTTCAAAAAACAAAAGGGTAAAGATTAGACTAACAATGTGTATATTTTAAGACTGAACTGCTCCATATTCACTCTTACACACTTCAAGTCTATAATTTTGAATATTTTGGAAGAACTGAAATAATTTAAACTTTCAAACCCAACCAAAATGAAATCCAGAATTGATATAGAGCTTTTTCATTTAAATGAATATTTCCTCATCCTTCTTCAGTGTTTTCCACTAAGACACTCTTGAAAAACTTTTCCAGGGACAACAAGTCAAAGAGAAAGAACTGTCTGGCCCCTTACCTAGAAGTATCATATAAAGGAACTTACAAAGTTCCTGGTCAATGCCTCCACTAAAATATGAGCTTAACATCACTCTGTGAATTTCCCATTTTTTCATAAAGGAAATTGGGAGTCTTCAGTGAAAAAAGATATAGCTTATTTCTGACATTAAATAGCTAGATTCTGGTACTGAACTGAAAGTGTCTGAAACATAAAAGAGGTAAATGTAGACAACACCTATGAAAGCACTTACAGCAGAATGAAAACCTTGAAGATTAGGTGTGAGAACAGGATACTGGACTCCAGGATGCCGCTCAATGCCCCTCATTACTTCTTTGTGATCTGCCATCTAAAATAAAATAAATAAATAATTTGTACTGATCAGCAGTTATTTTCTGATTTTATAACCAAATAGAAACTGGCTTAGACTGTGCTTTTGCCTTCATTACTTTTACAGTACATGCAAAAAGTCCAACAAAAAGGGCGTTAAACTGATTTTGTACAAATACTCTTTTTTAATTTCATAACTTTTGACTATTTGTGTTGCAATTTTTTCAGATCTATGTGAATATAGAACTGGGGCTAAGACTTCGACAGTGTTCCTTTGTGTGTATCTGTAAAAATATAATTTGCATCATGAATTGACAGACTTATGATCATGCTGTTCATGAAGTGTTACAGCAGCTTTAACTTTGCTTCACTGGACTTTATAGGTGGAATTAACAGAATAACTGAGATTTAAGAAACATAGAAATCTTGAAAACTTCAGGACTCTGATAAATGCAACCTCACAATGTTAAGCATAACTGAACTTTAATTACTCAACACTGTCATCAGAACATTTCAAGACTAAACACGTCTATTCTGAAAGAGACAGCAAAATCCAGATGTCCACATTGTGCAATGTTTTCTCATATTCAGAAATTTCTTTCTGAAGAAGAAAATACCTCTTTATTATAGCAAAGATCAGAGTACTTGTTTTCCTTAGTCTCCCCTCATAAAAGAAAATCTGCCTTTTTAAGATATGCTTATATTTTTACTCATACATTCAAGATTAAATATACTCCCCGTACTGATGAAGAAGATGAATGTAACACTTATTCACTTAATAAAAGGCAGATTCTTTAGAGAAGCACATTTTCTTAAAATAAGTAGGTTGAAAACAAATATTTTTCAATGGTGTGCACACCTGAAAACAATACAAAATAAAATATATCCCTCTTATTTAATGCCTTAAAGATTCTGAGTTTTAAAAAAAGAATAGTGCACATTAAATGCTTTTTAAATGAGTTCTCATAAAAGCAAATCTCTCAAGCAAACACTATTAAGTTGGATTTCTGTTTCTTTCCACACTGGTGAAAAGTATTTTGAGAAGTACCATGTAAAAAGATATATGAACTACAGAACTTTCATTACTCCTTACTTTCAGCAGATGCCTTTCTGATAGCTATGCAGTACCACAATTCTAAATATATGTTATTAAATTATACCACACTATAAACTAAAAATACTGCTTGTAGCCTGGAATCTTCCAGTCATCAGCTTCCTTCGGTGAAGATGAATGGATTAAAAATATCAGAAAAAACTATGAATTCCTCTTCAAATATAAGCCCAATATGTATCTATAAGGAAAAGGTACAAAAGGTGTTCTATAGCCAGACACAATTAATTTCTTATCAGGAAATAAGTGATAAAACAAAACTTTTTCTATTTGCTTCTATGTGAAGTAAATTGGTCTGATAACCTCACAAAAAATCCTCTGTTAACAACTAAGTTATTTAAGAACAATTTTTCATTCCTTAATTTAATATAAGTAGTAGCTACATTTCTCAGGGCAAAAAAGAATGTCTGAAACCAAATGATAAATTAAATGGCAAATGCTGGAACTAAATTCACTCTCCACAATTATAGCCTGTCTTAAAATATACTGGAAAACCAAAATGACACTTTTTCAACCAATATAAACCTGCCAGACCCAAATAATATTATAAATATTAAATCTGTCCCATTGCTATTTTTCCTGTAAGTAAAATCCCATCTTTGCACATATTGCATGTTATAAGATTTTAAATTGTAATAAAATACTTCTTTTCCCAATTTCTTTAAAAATAAGCTTCCTAATAGTAGATATTTATAATTTTGGCTGTTTATGTTATAGGTGTGGTATCCTGTTTTATATGGCACTTTGCTACTGTGGAACTTTTTCTTTTAGATTTTTCAGTAAAAAAATATCTTTGCCAAAGACAACAGTGGATGGGAAACCATAAAAAATTTAAAATACTAAAACAGAAATAAGTGAATGAGTGATCTAAACATAACTGTAAATTCTATTCCCATGACCTATGAGAAAAAGAAAAGACAAAGTCAAGACTGCACTCTCTGTCAAAGCAACACAATCTTATCTTTTAAATTAAAAAAAAAAATAGACACTAATTTAGCCATTAAAACAAAGTATTCTGTGAATGAATTTGAGATAAGAAGGGATTGCTCGATTTTTTCTAAACTGACAAACCTGTGCTAAATTTGGTACTCGCAATGGCTCAGAGGAAAAGGAAATAATTAAACAAGAAAGGAAGAAATACAACTTTGCTTTAGAAATTTTCTTCTAACATTTGAAAAATGTTATTATTCTCTGTTGCAGTAACTGACAGTGTGAAGGCACTTAGAAAAATTTAACCTATTCCCTTTTAGCAGACAAGAGATCATTGCCCCTCCATTGATGCCAAAGAAATTCTGCTTTGTCACTCTTCTCTTTACCTTTCCTATTACCCTTCTTCTAGACTCTTCTCTGGTGACCCTGAGAACACTGAAATAAAGCAAAGGAGTCCTTCAGAGTGCTGTACAATTTGCTTTGTTAACTCTTGAATAAGCATGGCTGTATTATGTTTTTCTCAGAGAAAAGCCTAGAATACAGTCCAGGCCCAGGATTTATTTTATTCTCAGTTTAAAATGGACAAACTTTACATTTTGTCAGATGTGTAACATGCAATAGACATTGTTAAAATGGAAGTATTTTCTCAAATTAATTAATTTCTTGTTTTAATTTGTAAATAACTTGTGTGCTCCTTGTCAAATACAAAGTATTCAAATGCCTCTGTGCAAACAAGTGTGCAATTTCCTGAAAAACAGCTGGAATTATAAAGATAAATACTGACTTACTTCTATGTTTGCAGGAAATAATTAATTTTCACAAACAGGCGCTAAATAGTAAACTTCAGGACTAAGCCTGAATTTGCAGTGTTAAATTTCATATGGAAATGTGGCACTCTAATGCCAATGCAGTTTTGCTGCCAATTCCAGAAAGGCTAGGTTTCTGCTGAATTCTACCAAATGTAAAAATTAATTTTGGAAAAATAATAAGCAAATTTTTACGATTCATCAAAATTTAAGTGAAGTTGCTGATAGAGTGTTAGAACTCCAAAATAAGTAACGTGCCTAACTACTACTACATATATAGAAGTCCCAAATTTAGATCTTCCAAACACATTTGCGAATGTGGAAAATTACATTTCATTTAGAGAAAAAGAAAAGAACGCATACTACTTTTCTTTTTTACATCAATGACTACTAGTTTTAGTAGAATAGAAAATAAGTAGGTACAACATTAAATTATATTAATGATGTGTCACCATCCCAAATCTTTAGTTACAACTGAATTCTACATAAATAAATGGAATGGCATTTAAATTGAAATAGTTGTGAATAGAGCTGATTTTACGTACCTGAGGCACCCACTTGGATGAAACAAAACTGGTTACTTCTATTGCAGGCAGGCCTGTTTTGGAAAGCTGGTTGATTAACTCAATTTTTATATCAGTTGGGACTATCACCTATAGACATGGAGACATACTTTAGCGAAGTATTTCATACATAAGAAACTTTTTTAAGTGAAACTTTCCTTGTATGTAAGCAATACTTTTTTATGCAATAATGAGCTACTCTTACACTTTTTACCATAACTCTTCTGTTTCCTGACAAGAGTAAGTATAAGGAAGGTATAAGGAAGGTACTCAGCAGTATACATGATCTTACTCCATTTTCTGTCCATCACAAAAGGAAGCACTTCTGTAACTGGTTATAGATCTGGCCTCATTATTTGTTATTAACCAAACACAAAACTAGCAAGAACTGACAAAGGAAATACTAACAGTGTGACCAGTGAAAAATGGGAGGAAAAAAGCTCCCCAGCTGTGACAGAGTAACTCTATTCTGCTAATACCACTAACATCTCTGGTATCAGGAACAATGATACATGTGAGCTTATCCTCCTGTTGGTGGAAATAGATGATTGTTTCTACACATGAACCCTATAACCTCTTTCAATCTTCTTCCATGCTTCCCTACCACCCTTCAGGCAAATAATGCTATCAAAAGAGTAATATTTTTCTCCCATGTCTCTTCAGCAGGAAACATGATAAAATCTATTTTACTATTCCTTCTACATTAACACTCGAAGCAGAAACACAAGTTACAAAGATAGCCAGTGTTTCATAGTGTTTACCAATTATGTCACAGCAGAATGTTATTGACTGACAAGACAAATGCCAGTAAAATGAAATGCTGAGTAACAGAAAGGCTAGTTAGCCAAGTATAGAAAGAAATTATACGATCTAAAAGCTGAGTAAATAGGAATACACTTTCATTCTAATATAAGGGTAAGTTATCAATATGAAAATAGATATATTTAATAATACAAAATGAAAGAAACATAATTAGCAGGATGTACATGTTCTACACAATGAAAATAACACTAACGTCCATGTCAAAAAAAAATAAGAGGAAAGTTACCTTCTCATTTTGTAAACCATCCCTTGGCCCAACTTCTACAATCTTTACGTACTCAGGCAGTCCAGATGCTTGAGGTTCCTGAAATAAAAATCAATACTGAAAAATAAAACAATTAAGATCAACACCAAGATCAAAAGGTACTGCTTATACTTGTCCTTTCATATGATTCTGGGTATAAAGTCATATTTTCAACATTAAGTTTGCTCAGCACATTTAAAAATCTCTGAGAACATGTTCCACACCTTGACCTAAGGAATAAAAGTAAAAACAAGAAGTTAGTGAATATTCCACTACTCCTTTGAGGTCACAAAGGTTTATTAAAAATGTACATAGAACCATAAATGAACATTGAGTTTTACAGTGAGAAATATTTCCATTTCAAAAATCTTTCCAATGAACAATCCAGCCCTCCAAACTTATAACTGCATGTTCTCAATTTAACTTAACAGGTACTTCTCTGTAAACGTTTGCAAGATCTGACTATAAATCTGAAAAGAACATAGCAGTCAAGAAATGTTAAAGAGATCATTAATGAAAAATGAAAATTATTTCTCTTACTGAAGATGAAGGTTTTAAAAAAGGATTTAAAGGCAAACGAGGAAAACCTCTAGTAAATACGAAGATTTTTTCAGGTGTAAGAGCAGCTCTGGAAAGGCAGGAAGCTGACAGGGACAGGAGGGAAGGAAGGCAGCAGTAAGGTCAAAGGGCTAAGGAGAGCATGGGGAACTGGAGAGGGAGGAAGGAGAAATGAGAACAGAAAAGCAGGTGAAGGGAAATGAAATTTCCTTTTTTATTATTTAGCTGCTCTGTGATTGAATCAAGTTGATGTGTGTGGCAGTTAACGTAAACTGGGCCTATAAGTCCTGGAGCAGTTCAGAGCACTTGGCTGGATTGAACCAAAAGCTGCGTGCCCTTAAAACCACACCCCATGGCTAATTTGGGGCACGCTGTCCATGCTCAGGAGTGGACAGGAGAGACACAGGAGCTCTGAAAATCCCCTGTTTTCTGTATTGCACTGAGGAGAGAAGCCATACCAGTTCTCCATTCCCATGTTGAAGGCCTGAGCTGGGATTAGCACGAGCTACTTGCAGGACAGCTGCTCCAATCCCCACCACCTGGAAGGGTGGTGTCCTGGGAGTTTACACCACTGGAAGGGTGACACTGTCAGCACAGGGGGACAGCTCTTGCCCAGGGAGTAACAGCTCCCCCAGATTGGGGACACTCTGTAAATACAGCCACTAACCTCACAACATCCACAACCAAAGGAAAATCCCATCTTTTATTCCTCCCTGACTAGTATCATCAGAGCTGTTCAAACCAAATGGCTGCTAATTTCTCCTCAGTAATGGAAAATCAGCATGCCTATGAGCACCTTTGGTTTCTCCCTGCATTCTTGGTGCCTGTGGGCAGTTCTCTGCAGGACTTGCCAAAATACAATAAATATATTTCAGACCATTTACTGTGTATTTATCTGAGCCCAGTAAAAAGAATAGGAAACAGCTGTATAGCATCTATTTGATCACATGGAACATCTGGTAAGTTGAAACTCTGTCAGACCCTGCTAAGCCCACACTCACTGACAGTATAAACCTACTTAAATGTGAAGGTAAAACCTTCACATCTGCTGCATATTGTTCCTCTTAAGTTATTTTCACAAATATGGCACTGCTTCAGCACTACAGGCATAAATCTGGGTTATTTCATGATTATCAGATCCTTCTTGTTGCAAGACAAATGCCACAGCTGTGCTATGAGTGAAGCTGTGACTGGAAAATAAAAAGAGAGCTAAAATAGATTATGTGAACCAAAGCATAATTTAGAGCATGAAAAATGTCCATAAAACTTTGAGAGCAAAAGCGTTCATCTTCTAGGCCAAACCTTGTAAATCCTATTTAGTGCCTACTGTGGCAAAATTTTGTGAAAATCAAGAGCTGTACTTGTCTTTTCAGAGCACTTCCCACAGCCACATCAGGTGATGTCCATAGTCCCTGGAGTTCATAGGGGTCAAAAGTTTGGAGGGGATATTGCAGAAAGGCATTAAAGTATTGGGTTTTATTTTCTGTCTGTGATATTACAGATACACAATCTCTCTGAACCATAGTCCAAGCCTCTCAGGCTCTGATTTTCTCTATAGCCTTCCAGCTCACTAGTCAGACTCAACTTGAATTCACTGTTCATGGAGTGAGAACAACACTGAGAGCTACACAGGGAATCACTCCCACATACTGGAAACTCAAGGCAGTACTATAAACAAATCTGTACATTCTTCAAGCTGGTGAACTAAAAGCTTAGAGTAAACTTCTTGGCTATGAGTCCAGAGTAGTCTTGTATTGCATCGTATTTCATCTAATTTTAGTTCTGGTACATTGATTGCTCCTATCTTCAATGCCACTCAGTTTCTCCTGTATGGCATCCAATGTTGTACTGAAAATGTCTCCTGTCCTTCAATTATCAGCAGATATTAGCACCTTCATACTTTCTTGTGAAAGCTTTTGGACTATCACTACCTTATTTTAGTACAAAACATGTATTATCTCAAAAAGAATTAGAGTAGTGCTTAGAAGAAAGAGGAACTCCACCAGCAATGTCTTTCCAGTCTAATAAATCTGCTTTCGACATTTTCTCCTATTTTCTCCTCAGCCAGTTTCTTATTCATCTCACACATTCTGTTCTGATCATCCTTCTCCCCAGCATAACTAATAATTTCTGTTACGCTGCATTGCTGAAGCTCCAATAACAAGCAAGTCAAAGTCAGGCAGAACACTTGGGTTCAGGTCCCTATATATTTGTATACTATTTATACATTTTACAGTCCATTTCTGCTGGATAGAACACAGAAACTAATTGGAAACTATAAGAGTATGTGTACCATCTTCTGCTAAAGTGACTCTAGCACTTTTCTATGCTGTGGCCCAAGCTGAATCCAAGGAGGATTGAACTCCTTGGAATCTCACCTGGTGAGATGTGTCCTGTGAATGAATACTCAGTAACTAGCTGTTGGGACATTCTTCCAAGAGAGAAGGAAATATGTACTTGGCAAAGCTGTTGGGAAGAAAAAGGAGACTCCACTTTCTAGGAAGTTTTCTGATCAGAGTGCTGCACTTGCAGAATATCTGGACATTACTTGAATAACATCTTAAGAAATCACCTGAGCCACGAGTCATATTCTTTGCCAGGCTCAATGCCATCTGCACTCACTAGTCAAGCTTCAAGTGCATAGAACACACTGAAGTCTGTAAGAACTTAGGCAGAGTCTAAACACTTCTCTGTTTACTACCTGGATGGCATCAGACCTCAACCAGGACTTGGGCTTCATGAATTGAAGGACTCATTTCCTCAAACTCTGATCAGAGCATTTCAAATGTACATCACACCCTTGGGTAAAAGGAATGATTTTCTGAACCAACAGGACCAACTTAGAAAATTTCAACACCTTTAAGTATGGCATTAAATGCCCTACAGATAATAATTAGAAAACAGAAATAAAAATAAATATGCAAACCATTTTTCATATTTTAAATGAATGAGAAATGGTGAACTTTGTAGAAATACACAAGTACCAATTTTAGTACCACTTAACATGTCAGGTACACAATTTTGTTTCAGAAAAAATATTTACTAGATTGAACTATATGAACCATTTTTGTGTAACAATATATGAAAAGTAGTAAGGGCAAATACTTAGGGGCGACTGCTTATTGAATAATACAGGGTCTCTGTTAAAAATTAATGACCACCAAAGTATCATGTTTTAAATATCAAAAAGGAAATAGCTGACATAAAAGACTAAGAGCCTGGAAAATTTGTTTTTCCATGTATCAAGCCTTGCCAAGGGAGCACAAAAAGCATATAAAACCACAAAAAATTGCCTCTCTCAAAACAGAATGCAGCCAAAGAGTATTTTTAAAAGAAATAGAAAAAGGAAAACCAAACCATTTAGCTTGAGACATTGAATGCCAAATTTCTGTATGGAAACATTTTCTCTCAACTATAAATAGCTGCAAATTTAGGTTCATTACAGAAAACCCTAGTAACTTTTGATTAAAGCAGTATAATCTCCCTAATGTAACAATAAATGTAAAAAAGATTAAATAAACACACTTTTTAAGCTCTGTCACTACTTCACTACTTCTACTTAAGGTGCTGAGGTTCTCTCAGCCTTCTGATTTTTATTCCATGAAGGTCATTCATAAGGGCAGAAACAGCAATGGCAAGTTTTACCCAGAGCCTCTCAAAGGTAACTGAAAAACACAAAAGTCAAAGAAAAGGATCTGGAGGTTCAGGTCTTTTCAATCCTTCTAAGATAAAGCTCTCCTTTCCTTTTCCACAAGGTGGTGTTCTGGCACAGAGGACACTGAACAAAGGTAGGTCCACTCTTGTACAAAGAATTACTCAGGAAAGCAGTTTTCAACAAGAATCAGCAGGGAGGTGGCATCATAACTCCATAATGTATACCTGCAGTGACATGGAAAAATGCCCAAAAACCGGGAGAAGGCTCTAAGATAAATAATGAGATTGCTGGAAGGAGAACAAAGAAAACTGGTCAATCTTCTGAACACTTAGATGTCTCTAAACTTTACAAGATATAGAGGAAATAAACAGGAAGAAATTAAAATCCTTCTTCACATAGTTCACACTGCTAGAAGGCAGATATAAAACATACTAATTCCCAGCTTAACTAGAGAAAAAATGGAGAAGATTCAAAAAACAGTGGGATGCACCTGAGGAATATCCCTCAGTAAAGATAAACTGAGTATTCATTCTTGAACTTCTGCTGCATGCTGCTGACATGACCACTGGGAGAAGAGTAGTCATGAATGGACCATGACTAGCAAAAACCTTCAACCCCTGAGAATCTTTCATCAGGTGTTTTCTTATTATATCACTCCACATTCATGACCTGAATGTTAACACAGACTTACCACAAAAAAGCAGTTACAGCAGAGTACAAAATTCCATCGAAATCCCCAATGCATATCAAGAAAAGCAATATGCAAGATAACACTTAGAACTCTCCATATTGTTTCTGAAGTAAGAAAATGACAAAATTGATCCTGGGCTACAAACTAGGATGTCAT